CATTCAAGTGCACAGGCTAATTTGATTAACTAGAATAGAGAAATAATGAATGATTACAGGGTGTGCTTATGGCTTAGTCAATTCCAAGCGTACCCATCCACTCCCTCGCCCCCACTACCTGGCAGTTGTTAAGTCTTCTGTTCTCACTGTGAGGCATTTGGCATCAAACGGGGACCCGGGAATGGGCAACATGTCATTTTCCACTTTCTAGAAGAACGATTTGACAATTTCTCTTCAAATTCTTCGCAAAGCTTCCCAAACTGGCTCCCACGGCCTTTTTGGCCTTTTCACGGGCCTATGCAAAATCCGCGAATTAGCTCGCACGAAAGTTTTATGTCACACGTATCTCTTTTTTCATCAGGTCACAGGAGAGGCTGGCTACGTAGCTTACAAGACGTGCACTCCAATCTTTGACCAACTCCTGCGAGACAAATTTGACAGCAAACACTCAAGGCTGCGAATCATTGATGCGGGAGCTGGGACAGGGATTGTGGGGAAGGTCCTACAGGATCTCGGCTACACCAATATCGACGCCCTCGACATCTCGCAAAAGATGTTAGACGAAGCAAAGAAGCTGAATGTGTACAACAATTTCTTTTGTGCGCCGCTTAGTGAGGAACTTGTAGCGGAAATCGCAAATGATCAGTACGATGCTCTGATCTGTATTGGTACCCTTACAGTTGGTCACGTTAAGCCACGTGCTTTCGATGAGATTTTGCGCATTGTGAAACCTGGTAAGGAGCTAAGGGTCTGTTTATATAAGGTGAGCCAGCCCGATTGGCAGGGCTGGCCCGCTTTCGATCCGGTCTAGTTCGGCTCATGCTTTGTTTTCTCTTAAAGTTTTCGTTGTGCTTATGTGAGAAGTGGGGCTGGCCCAGCTTGGTCCGTCCGTTAAACTTTGGTCTACATGCCACGATATAATATCGTTTTCATTTATAGAATCAGCGTACAGGAAACTTCACAGCACTGAGAAAGTCTTAATCCGTGTCCATAATGATATCGCAATTGCCTTAGATCAGAAAAAATAAGTGATTTTGCTGCTCCTTGATCTTTCCGCGGCATTTGATACTGTCAGTGGATCACTGTATCTTGCTTTCACGCCTTTCTCGTCGATTTGGAATTGGTGGTACGGCAACCTACCTAAAACCAGTAACTACTTTGCAAAAACGAGTCGTCAGAATAATGACTTTTTTCGACCCTAGATCACATTCTGAGGCATTGCTGAAGTCTCTCAGACTGCTAAAATTCTCTGATATAATTCATCTCGTAATCAAAGAGGTATAGTTCGCGTGTAGGTAGCTAGGGCATGTTCCTCGATGTTTTGCATGACAATTTCTGCTACTCACAACAACAGAAACTGAGGAGCCAATAGCTGTACCGTGTAACTGTTTGCAGTGTTTGCAGTTGTACTGAAAGTACGTCGAAGTCAAACAGAGGTTGAGTAGGTCCATAATGTCGTCTGTAGGTAGTGGTAGTTTAACAGTAGAGTTCTTAATAGCGTTCTCAGTACAGTCTAGAGCCAATTGAAGTGGAATGCTGGTGGACAGTGATTTCACGTCAAAGGACACTAGTTTGTGGTCGTCCGGTATCTGTATTGTCTACTACTATCCGGACTACTGTCTACTACTATCCGAACTTTGACGAGGCGAAAGCAACTAGTTTGCGACTCACCTGACAGCCTACAAGACGAGACTGATTATCTTAACAACGTTTTTAGTAAGAACAATTACAATACGGACTTTGTTAGACGGAACACTCACAGTGACATTGATTCCAACCCCAGACCAACGTCAACTGTGGCCCTGTTACGACAGCGACTATACCGTACATCAGAGGCACCTCTGAAACTATCGCACGTATATTACAACCTTATACATGTTGCACATAAACCGATAACCACTTTACGACGACTGCTTGCTAATGTCAAGGACAAAGACAAAACGGAGGACAGACAGGGAGCAGTATACAAGATCAAATGCTGCGACTGCCAGGCTTCTTACATTGGTGAAACCGGCAGAAACCTTAGAACACAACTGACCGAACACAAACGAACGACGAGGAATAGTGAAGTTAACAATCACATTGCTAAGCACCATTTACAGACAAAACATCGACATGTATAACGTAATCTACAGACTGCTATCAACGTCTTACTTTAGAAAGCTGGTTTACTAACTTAGAACAAACGCCACTGAATCGTAGCCACCAGTTACCAGCGCTGTACAAACGACTTATTGACGAAACCAAGCAAAACTAACTACGAGAGAACGACTGGAGAACTGAAAATTTGACTAATGGCAATTGACGACTGTTTAACTGTGACAATAGACGGATCGAAACGCACCAATTACTCATTACGAGTCTTCATAGCCAATGACATCACGGCTTAACTGACAGTATAACATCGATCGCGACGTATTTGACCAATCAGATCAACAACCAGAGTACAATACTATCAACTGACGTGATACAACTCACTTTGACTCTGAAGATGACTACACCGCACAGGTTGTCGAAACGTCACTGTCAACAACAACAGTCCTATTCAGGACTCATACACCCGGACGATCAGGCATTCGCGGTAAACATATCACCTTTGATGCAGCCCAGCTTCTTGTTTAAGCGCTTGTTACATCAAAGCTTGACTACTGTAATGCGTTACCATATGGTTTACCTAACAACGTGATTGATCAGCTCCAACGTGTGCAGAACGTAGCTGCTTGTATTGTTACTCTTTCACCCAAGTTCTGTCATATTACACCTGTTCTTGCGAATCTCCACTGGCTCCCGATTGTTCTTCGGAATGGGATTGAATTTAAAATACTTACTGTTACTTACAAGACTCTCCATGGACTTGCTCCTACTTATATTAAAGATCTTCTTCAAAGTTGCCTTCCGGCACGGGATCTTAGGTCTTCAAAGAAAAATCTGCTTGCCGTAGGTGCTTTTAAGATAAACAGTTATGGCCGTTGTGCTTTTTCTGTTGCTGCGCCGCTTCTTTGGAATAGTCTTCCTCAGCATATTAGGGATGCTGGATAACTGGATATTTTTAAATTTTAAAAGACAGTTGAAAACTGTTCTTTTTGACGCGCTTTTTAAATTGATGACTTGACTCTGGTGTTTTTATTTCTTAAATAATTTTTGCAGTTTTTTATTGTGGTTTTTAAATTTTAACTTTTACTGTAGTTTTAAATTGTTTAAACTTATAAATAGCGCCTTTTGACCCTGATCATTATTATTTATTGATCCAATCAGAATCACGAGCGATGTTTGTTCACTTTTAAGAAAAACAGTTTGTTCAATCAAAACCAGTGCGGTACACTAGTATCGCGCCAAGTATGTCATAGTGTTTGCAGTGCATTCGCTTCGCGGGTTGCTCAGTGGTCATGTGATAAATTGCATATTAAAGGAGACAAATGGAAATGGGAATAGGAGACCTACTTATATTTCATCGTCCAAAAAGAAAGTTGTACAGAGCCTGCAAGACAACTGTCTCAGTCCTTGCCTTCCTTATAATTTTTACTAATTGTTCTCGAAAGTTAGCTAGCCTGCGTAGCGGCAAATTTTATCACTTCGGCGTTTCGGAAAGGTTGAAAATATAAGGCTGGTAGAGTGAAGAATGCCTCGCTCCATGCAAGGTAATCCAAGACAGTCTTGGCCGATTCTGAATTCAAAGCCGATGGCTTCCGGATTCCAGGCACTGGATTCTGGATACCTTGTCAGCGATTTCTGATACGTCGACAATTTGTATGAAAATATTGTACGCGCGCACGTTCCATGATTTGTTCTTAATTTTCGTTTTTAAACGCAATTTCTTTGATACGAAGGCTTGCCACTTGGCCTAATTCTTGTCGTCAAAGGCGGACTCAAAACTAACCGATACTTCTCTGTCTTTTCGGTTGTAGGTGGTATTATTGGGTTCACTCTTCGAAAAGACGTCTACAACGAGACTGTTGAACACGCTGTTTACAAAGAAACAACCAAGTTTGGCTACCGCGAAAAAATGGATGAGATAGAAAACGAAAAGAGATGGAAGCTTCTACGATGTGACTTGATAGATTATCATACTACAATGGATGAATTGCGAGCAAAGTGTTACTCTTTAATGTACCAAGTTCTGTGATGGTGGACATTCCATTCTGGCCAAAGCGAGCACTCTTGTAATTTTGTAATTATTTAGCTTATTTGTAAATTAGTAATAAAATGATCAATTTTAAAACGTTTCAATCGGAGGACAATAACAAGCTCAAAACAAAGGATCAATACAGCCGAAATTCGTGTTTGTTCGCAAGTCGGACAAACGCTGATGAGACAACTTGTTTTGTTCTTTGTTACGACGTTTTATACGTGTCAGGCAAATCGTAGCCGGTGAGGAAGCTCTCCATTTCGAGTAACGAGCGGAGCCAGCCGCTAGAGAACGCGCAAGGGGAGAGGAGGGAATGGCAAAGCGGCGCGCGAGGGCCTAATGAAAGCTCTGACTAGCGTCTCCTTTTGCGCGCCGCTGGTTAGGATATTTAGTTCCCAAATGGAGAGAGCGTCCTCGGTAACCGGTCAAGTCGCCCGATGGTAATCTCTCTCAAAGTTTTGTCGCCCGAATTTTATCAGGTGCAGTACACAAAGAAACAACGTTAAAAATAGAGTGTTTGTAAGATATCTCGTTCTTTTAACCGTCATAAGCAAGCTCTCCTGGGGTTTCCCGAGGTATGGGGTGGGGGAGGGAAAATGGGAAGGAGAGCTTGCACTCGCGTCTCATAAATTTGAATATCTTCCTTTTTCGCACCTCCGCTAGAGCTCCCCAGGAGGTTTTGGGAGATGTCCGGGATAAATGTGAAGTGAAACCTTCCTCGTTCTTTAAGAGATGATAAGACGAAACAAGCAGGATATTAAAATGTGTAATATATCTCGCTCTTTTAGCCTTGATGAAATGAAATAAACGAGATAAATGAGTACTACCTGTCGCTCTTTATCTTTGATGAGACGAAACAGGCCCGATGAATGTGTAATATGGATGTTTGGATGTTGTTGAGCATAATAAAATTTCGTGCGACAGAAATCAGCATTTCGGGCGACATAAGTCTTTTCCGGCCACATAACTTTGGGTACGATGACTCTCGGGGAACTTGACCGTAAACCGCTTGCTCCCTGGCTTGGACTGTCAAGGTCGACGAGGCACTTTCATGACAACAGCAAAGCACTGTTCGTATTTTAAGTAAAAAAAAACTAAGTTCACTTTGAATGAGTAGATGTCCTGATGTATTGGAGTCTTATTGGGCTCGTGCATTTAATATCCGTACCCCTTTCCCCCCGGGTTCAGAACTTACCTTTTCTTCTTTCCCCTCAAGATTAAGTAAAATTGCACTCACCCATGAAGACTCCCATAAAATATGTGTCTACCGCCTGAAGAATATGGGTCTACCCCCGAAGAATATAGTTCTACCCCTGTAGAATATGGGTCTACTCCCGAAGAACATAGTTCTACCCCTGCAGAATATGGGTCTGCCGCCTGAGGAATATGGGTCTACCCCTTGAAGAATATATAATGGTTTACCCCTGAAGAATATAGTTCTACCGGCCTGAAGAATATAGTTCTAGCCCTGTAGAATATGGGTCTACCCCCAGACAAATATGGGTCTACCCCCTAAAGAATAAGGGTCTATCCCTGACAAATATAGTTCTTTCCTTGTAGAATGTGGGTCTACCCCTGAAGAATATAGTTCTACCCCTGTAGAATATGGGTCTACCGCCTGAGGAATATGGGTTTACACCTTGAAGAATATATAAGGGTCTACCCCTGAAGAATATAGTTCTACCCCTGTAGAATATGGGTCTACCGCCTGAGGAATATGGGTCTACCCCTTGAAGAATATATAATGGTCTACCCCTGAAGAATATAGTTCTACCGGCCTGAAGAATATAGTTCTACCCCTGTAGAATATGGGTCTACCCCCAGACAAATAAGGGTCTACCCCCTAAAGAATAAGGGTCTATCCCTGACGAATATAGTTCTTTCCCTGTAGAATGTGGGTCTAACCCAGAAGAATATAGTTCTACCCCTGTAGAATATGGGTCTACCGCCTGAGGAATATGGGTCTACCCCTTGAAGAATATATTAGGGTCTACCCCTGAAGAATATAGTTCTACCGGCCTTAAGAATATAGTTCTACCCCTGTAGAATATGGGTCTACCCCCAGACAAATATGGGTCTACCCCCTAAAGAATAAGGGTCTACCCCTGAAGAATATAGTTCTAGCCCTGTAGAATATGGGTCTACCTGTGAAAGATTTGGTGACAATTAATTAAAGCCTCAGCCCCAAAGAATTCCACAATTTTTTACTCTACCCCAAAGGAAATCCTCCAATTGTTTGAACTTACCCCAGAAGAATTCCATTGGTCCTCATCCGAGGGGAGGAGGGGTATGAATACCATACACTTTGAATGAGTAGATGTCCTGATGTATTGGAGTCTTATTGGGCTAGTGCATTTAATATCTGCAGCTGTATCTGTGCCCCTCCCCCCGGTTGAGGACTTACCTTTTCTTCTTTCCCCTGAAGATTAAGCAAAATTGCACTCACCCATGAAGACTTCCACAAAATATGGGTCGACGCATTGAAGAATATAGTTCGACCCATGTAGAATATGGGTCTACCCCCTGAAGAATATAGTTCTACCCGAAAAGAATATGGGTCTACCCCTGTAGAATATGGGTCTTGCCCCTGAAGAATATGGGTCTACCCCATGAAGAATAAGGGTCTATCCCTGAATAATATAGTTCTACCCCTGTAGAATATGGGTCTACCCCTGTAGAATATGGGCCTTGCCCCTGAAGAATATGGGTCTACCCCATGAAGAAGAAGGGTCTATCCCTGAAGAATATAGTTCTACCCCCGTAGAATATGGGTCTACCACCAAAGAATATAGTTCTACCCCTGTAGAATATGGGTCTTGCCCCTGAAGAATATGGGTCTGCCCCAAGAAGAATAAGGGTCTATCCCTGAAGAATATAGTTCTACCCTTGTAGAATATGGGTCTACACCTGAAGAATATAGTTCTACCCCAATAGAATATGGGTCTTGGCCCTGAAGAATATGGGTCTGCCCCATGAAGAATAAGGGTCTATCCCCTGAAGAATAAGGGTCTATCCCTGAAGAATATAGTTCTACCCTTGTAGAATATGGGTTCACCCCTGAAGAATATAGTTCTACCCCTGTAGAATATGGGTCTTGCCCCTGAAGAATATGGGTCTGCCCCATGAAGAATAAGGGTCTACCTCTGAAGAATATAGTTCTACTCCTGTAGAATATGGGTCTACCTGTGAAAGATTTGGTGACAATTAATTAAAGCCTCAGCCCCAAAGAATTCCACAATTTTTTACTCTACCCCAAAGGAAATCCTCCGATTGTTTGAACTTACCCTAGAAGAATTCCATTGGTCCTCATCCGAGGGGAGGAGGGGTACGGATACCGTATTTAATGCAATAGTAGCCTGCGAGCAAGCTTGCTT